CTATAAAAATCAACTTACATGGAGAGAAATATAAAACCCAGAAAAATCTATCAGCTTTTGTGACAGAACGCTACGGAGTGGGTCACATGACCGCCTTTATCACAGGATTGGCGGATGAGCAGAACGGTGGCAAAATTATATTAAAATAGAAGAGTACTAATTTTAAATACATGTATTATAAGCAAGACTGAAACCAAATATCGTTTTTTGTATGGGGATGTTATTAAATATATCTTCGTTTCCCTTAATCCGTCCCTTTAATCCCAAGTTTGGTAGGTAGGTAGGTAGGTAGGTAGGTAGGTAGGTACACTGTAGGTAAATATTTTTTTTCTGATAGCAGATTAAAAAATACATTTTTAAAATTAAATGGTAAAATACATTTTTTAAAATAAAGTACAAAAGAAAGCAATTAGTGAACAGATTAATAAAAATGACGTTCACAAGTAAACTTTATGGAAAATTCAAAATTATTATTCAACTGAACTAAATTATCTCATGCCAGTGTAAATTTATTGAAATCCAACATTTAAACAAACAAGGTTCTCGGATACTCAAAGACTGGAATTGTTTTTATATTTTCAGATCTACTATCACAGTCTTTTAGAGTTTAATAAACGAAAGATACATTGGAAGTCCCAGAAAGCATGAACAAGATTTCAAAACTATTCACAAAAAGTGCATAAACAATATTTATTGAACCAAACGATATCTAATATGATAGAAATGTTTTACACAAAGTCAAAGTCTCGGAGTTTAACCCATGAAGAAAAGGCTTATGAAAAAAAGGACGTATGAATCCTATTCATCAAGATAAATAAGCAGATATATTTACAACAACTACTAAGGTCAAATATAGAAAACACGGGAACATAAACGAACTATTAATTAGATCAACTCATTGAATAAAATGCAATGACAATTATGTGTTAACATGGTAGTTCCCTCGTCTGATCATGAGGCATCCTAACGACGTATGTATCCAAACTCAAAACAAGTTTTAAATACCACTCAAACGCTCTAACTATAAATTAGTCAAGGTATATGTTATTTACGATATGTTTCAAGTGAAGGGTTCAAATAAGCAAAAGGCATATTAAGCTTGAAACGTAGTCGTTGTTTTATAACACTATCTGACCCTCTGTGACCATTTCGTTGTGGGCCGCGCCATTTGTTCCCAGCGAAGGCTTTAAAATCACAAAAGAACAGAATTGACCATTGACATGTAAAAGGTTTTTATCTCTGTCAGATGAATTATATATATATATATATATATATATATATATATATATATATATATATATATATATATATATATATATATATATATATATATATATATATATATAATATTAATGAAAATAAACAATAAAAAATTATGGAAATAATTCTATGGAGAAAAACTTTTTAGCTGGCATGATTTGATTGGGTCAGTCGCGTTAGGGGTAACAAAAATACTGTGAATTCATTAATATTTGTGGGGTTAAATTTTCTTTGTTTTCGAGGTATGGAAAGACCCACGAATTCATGATCACCACGAAATGCAAAATTAAATATGCAATAAAATATTATTACCCGACACTTCTCCAACCACGAAATCAAATCTCCACCTATCAACTTTTTTTCTCAAACCTCGAAAATTTGATCCCACGAAAATATTTTATTTTACAGTATTTTTTATTATGGCCTCGAAATTATTCAATTAGTTCACGAACTTTTTGATCACCCCTCATATTACTAAAACAAAAATCGTATTGAGCGGTAAAATTGCATTTTTTTTGTACACTTTTCACCAAAGTATTTGGCTTTACCGAACATTATGCTGTTAAGCTAAACAAATATCACTTACAACTTTAAAGTTCTGTCTAATTGGAAATTGAAAGGTTTTTGCATTAAAATGATAAGGAGAATCCCGCTAACATTTGGTATTTTTGACTAATTTATACCATAGCTGATATAGTGCAAATATCTCAATTTCGAAGAAAAAACACTAGTGCGAAAATATCAATGTCATTATAAAAAACCTCATTAAACCTGGTTTCCTGGTGGCTTATCAGATTTATTTTGTTTTAAATGAATCGAATTTTATTAAGTAAGTCAAAAGAATTACATCAATGATGGTAATGGGAGACCCAATTTCAAAAAATTGTAGTTGAAAAATCTTAAGATAATCAACATCTGTCATATAAAACAAATACACATAGGATCCTTTGCTTAATTGTTTATTTGTTCGTTTGTTTAACATTGGCTCGAGATTGTTTACTAATAAACTTGTAAAATCACATATTTTCGAGGGGTTTAATTTTCGAGGTTTGAGGAAAAAAATAATTGATTTGTGGGAGTTTGATTTCGTGGTGGAAGAATGTTTAGTACAAATGCATATGAAATTTTACATTCTGTGGTGTCCATGATTTCATGGGTCTCTCCATGATTTTAAAACAACGAAAATTAACCCTCCCCAAGGAAATTAGTGATTTTACAGCATTGAATCACCATTTAGAGGGATGTAATTTAATTTAGACCTGTACTCGGTTCTGTACTAACAGAACAAAGAGGAATCATTTTGTGCCAGAACCTGCTGCAAACACAGGATCTTGATAATTATACAACTTCATTCAAAGTAGCTGTCTGCGTGTTCCGTACTGGACTGAAGGTTAAATGCAATGCATGTGTATGTATGTTTTTAGAACGTCAAATCTAACTTCAAATAGAATTTAACTCTATCTGTTGAATGAGTAAATCAAAATTATATTGATAATTATACGTGTACAATGTTTGCATTTCTTTGATGTTCTTTTAAACTGTTTTAATAACATAAAGGTTAAAAAGGTTAAAACCCTGAGAGAGTTATTCACCTCATTTGTTTGAAAAGTGAAGAGTATCCAGACAAATATAATGTGTAGAATAGATGTGATGAAAATATTTGAGTAAAAAAAATATTGAAACTGCAGGTCAAATGGACAGTTTTAGACTCCTTATTAATAGAAGATACATGTAATCAATCCCAGGCTTCATTTTGGGAATGTATTCCCTCATGATTCGGAGATAAATATTGTAAAAGGGGGGATAAACAGAAAAAGACAAGATAGAGTAAGAGTACTTTTTGGCCTCTGATTTTGGGTGTCTTTTAAATTAATGCAACAGTTTATCAATTAACTGGGGGAATGTAAGAATGAAATGTGGGGAGCCATAAAGTGAACCACGGATAAAAATAAACACAAAAAGAAACTTAAAAGTGTATATCTAATTTTAGAGCTCGTCTCAGCTCTATTCCATGTATTTTATGGTGATTTTCTACATATTTTATTTCCACAATTGCGTAATTATTCTGGATATATCACGTGATATCTACCCATAGTTTCTTGCCTTATAAGGCAATTTTTTTCTGCTTGAGTGTTTGCTTTGTGGACCCAGGTAGAACCACTAAACATTTACTGATAAATCCAATTTAAACGAAAATCTTTGAGAAGTGAGGGCTCTTTTTAGATCAGTAAGATGGACGACGAAGATGTTGCAGCATTAGTTATCGACAATGGATCTGGAATGTGTAAAGCTGGATTTGCTGGGGACGATGCTCCCAGGGCCGTGTTTCCCTCCATCGTGGGGCGCCCCAGGCATCAGGTATGACTTTTCATATTCATTAAATTAATCATGCAATCAATACATGACATTATCATATCATTTGTTTCCACTTTTAACCATGCCTTAAAGTAAAAAAAAAGATTATTCATTTATTAGTTTGATGTTTTATACACGAACTAGTTTAATATGCGTTTATGAATGGAGTAGGACATATGCTATATTTAGAAAAAGTCTGTGGTAATTCAATACAAAGAGGTATAAAACACCGGATATGTGTAGTTTAAATATAGGAAAACAGGGTAAAATATTTAAATGTCAAAATGCAGTGCTTCCTGACGACGTGTTTAACTATTGAAATTGACCGAACTTTGTAATGGTGTCTGATAGTAAAGATTTGATTTTTATTTTTAAAGAAAATCATTTATTTAGCTACTATCTACGACGCACATCAAAGTCTGAGATAAAAGCTATGTATTTTCAAACTCTAATTGACAATAAAATAACTCTATTAAGAGATTTATACGAAAGCCCTGGAGGGACATTGTCTCACTTGTTATGACTTATTTGTTGTGACTTATTTATTATGAAGGATTTTGTTGCTAACGATCACTAAGTGTAGAGTAGATATGGATAGTGTGGTAGCTTGGCTTACATTTATAATAAAATGAAATGTTTAGTTATTATTTGTCAAAAATGTTTAGAACAATCAAATGGTATACATTCTTTTAGCACAGAGTCAGGGAGAATTTGATATTTTTTCTTTATCAACGCTATGAAATCAATTAAAGCAAATTCATGTCGGTAGCTGTAGCATATATATTTCCTCTCTTTAAGTTGGTATTATACAGTCATGTAACAAAGAAAAATTAATTTACAAGATAATAAATTTCTCTTTAAAATTGATCAAATCGTTAAAGTATTTTTATTAAAACAAGGAAATTTACTTTAGAAACTACATGCTTACTTTGTTCGTTGCCCTCAGATGCGCTCATGTCTAAACATAACATATTAAAAGTTTAAATATTTTGATAGTATTATGCTTTGAGAATTCAAAGTTTCAAAAAAGATAAATTCCCATAGAGTGATATGATTGATTATTTGAAAATACCCCTCTTTTTTAAAATAATTTAATTCATTTATCAACCAATCACAGGGTGTAATGGTTGGCATGGGCCAGAAAGACAGCTATGTGGGAGATGAGGCCCAGAGCAAGAGGGGTATTCTCACCCTCAAGTACCCAATCGAACACGGCATCGTCACAAACTGGGACGATATGGAGAAAATCTGGCACCACACCTTCTACAATGAACTCCGTGTGGCCCCGGAGGAACACCCCGTCCTTTTAACTGAAGCCCCACTCAACCCAAAGGCCAACAGAGAAAAGATGACACAGATTATGTTCGAAACCTTTAATACCCCAGCCATGTACGTTGCTATCCAGGCTGTACTATCTTTATATGCTTCCGGTCGTACAACTGGAATTGTACTCGACTCTGGAGACGGTGTCTCGCATACAGTACCCATTTATGAAGGTTACGCCCTTCCCCACGCTATTCTAAGATTGGATCTTGCTGGACGTGATCTGACTGATTATCTTATGAAAATCCTCACAGAACGCGGTTACTCTTTCACAACCACAGCTGAAAGAGAAATCGTTAGGGATGTTAAAGAGAAACTGTGCTATGTTGCTTTGGACTTTGAACAGGAAATGGCAACAGCTGCGTCATCATCATCTTTGGAAAAGAGTTACGAACTTCCTGATGGCCAGGTCATCACGATTGGAAATGAACGATTCAGGTGTCCTGAAGCCATGTTCCAACCTTCTTTCCTTGGAATGGAAGCTTCTGGTATGCATGAAACAACATTCAACAGCATTATGAAATGCGACGTTGATATCCGCAAGGACTTGTACGCTAATACAGTTTTGTCTGGTGGTTCAACCATGTTCCCAGGTATTGCTGACCGTATGCAGAAAGAAATCGTTGCTTTGGCTCCGAGCACAATGAAGATCAAGATAATCGCTCCACCAGAGAGGAAATATTCCGTCTGGATCGGAGGTTCTATTCTAGCTTCACTTTCCACCTTCCAACAAATGTGGATCAGCAAGCAAGAATATGACGAATCTGGCCCCTCCATTGTGCATAGAAAGTGCTTCTAGGGACTACTGAACTTCAGTTTAAAATCATTACATGTATCATATGCTTCCTTTACTAGTTTTTTATGACTGAAACATAAATAAGCTTTAATTGAATTATTTTTTAAACAAGACATAAGAAAATTAATTAAAAGTACCCTCAAACAGTACTGTGATCAAATAAAAAACTTTTCCACAGATGAAAGAAAAGTTTCTGTTATTACTTTGAAATATACTAATACATATTAAATGAGTATCTGGTTTTAAAAATTGTTTATACGTAGAGCATGCTAATGTTCCTGTGTATCGAATCAACTGAATGATATAAAGCCTGTACTCAGGTGATGACGGTATATCGCTACATAGGTTTAAGTCATCACGTTTATCATAGTAGATTATCCATATATGAAACAGATGTTTCAGACACTGTGTTAATTCTATTTAAAGCTCACTGGGATATATCGTATCAATAACCATTGTTAATTGAAAATACGTCGTCAATATATCTAATTGTTGAGTCTAAGGCCACATAAACGCAGCTACGTTAAGGACGCCCATAGGACACCTTAAAACAGATTTAGAATATGGATATAGGGTTCTATATAATTTTGAACACATTAATTCTGATTAACTAATTCTTTTTTATATGTATATATTAGGTCTCGTTTGTGTTTGGCCAAATCGATTTCACTTGCATCAGCTGTTTGTACCGTGACATGTTTAAAGTTAGAAAAAATATGTATGGTTACAAATTTAAAGATCGATAAAGTTTAACAATATATGGATATCTTTTCGCTATGAATATGATTGTGTATTTTTGACAAATTTCTTAACCTGAAAAGCGCTAGGAGGAACTTTCTAATGCAGGAAAATTATGCAATATTTAGCCACCCTTCGATTAACTTTACTGACTGAGATAATACACAATTAATGAAATAAAGTAAAATTACGGAATAATTCAACAGCTATAATTCTAGTCTTATTTTACATAAAATAGTTTGAATAATATTCATCATTGAACAAATATTGCATATTAATGCAAATAAATTATTGTGACCTGTCTGGAATAAAAAGTAACATATTTGGGGTATCAAAAATCTAAAAAGGCAATATATATTTTCTTGTATCAAACTTTCCACGAATCAAGTTCTGATCAGTCACAAGTATCGAGTAGTTTAAAATAATAAAAGAGAAAGTTTGGGTAAGTGATGTTAATTTTGAAATATTAGTCATAATATGCAATTTTCAGACAAAAAAGGTGTAGATTTTATCTTGAATGCTTTAATTTAAATGTGTCTTCAATTCTCGGCAATGTTTGTTCAGAAAGGTGTAAAATATGTTCTAAAAATACAAATTGAGACGCATATTTAATATTCCTAGCATATCATTACGGAAAACATTCAGTAAAAGTATGTAACTGAAGCTAAAGTTCCAAGATATAAAATTCAATAAATGTGCAGACTTGCAGAATTTTTTGCTAAATATCCTTCCACCACTAGAAATAGACTTTTATAAGTTTTGTTTCCTTGTGAATTATTGGGCAGTTTTGTTTTGTTTTGTTTTTTTTTTTCGTTAAATGCTGAACAATTTACATTGATTAATTTAACTGAATTTGCCATAAAAATTGAATTATGATAAACAGTTTTGAAGTAAAAGATTCTTCCTCAGTTTTTCTAAAAAATCTGACGATTGACATACGTTAAGTGTCGAGTACAGGTCTAAAATCACAGGCAGATGATGGCGTCTCAATGTGATAAGTGAAAAATTCTCGAAGGGATGAAAAACAAACAACTTCCATAGATATCTGTATGTTAGATTAGTACTGAATATATTATAATTATTTTAAATATAAATATAAATATTATAATTTTTTAAAAGCCTATATACAGTATACGGAGTTGGACGTTATTTAAAATTCAAATTCAAGTTCTATAACCGAAATTCCGAAACCTTGTTTTTATCTCTATCAAACAGAAATTTCAGTTCGTTTGTCTGCAAATTCGTTTTATTAGAATTCTTCTTAAACATTGAAATTCGCATAAAGTCGCTTTATCCATAAAATTGCTTTGTTAATGTTCTTACATGTAGGATTTTACAGTATCTCTTAAAAGTTAATTTACAAAATAAAAATTAAGGCTTATTTTAGATGAGAGGAAAACATTGCCGTTTCATATATAGAATTTGCAAATAACTAAGGCAAACTTCAAAAAATGTTTATTACCTAGATATTTCTTTCTGTCAGAAAAATATTTCACAAACACGACCACGTAGTGTAAAAAAATTACTAATCATTAGTTAAATAACTAGTAGACTTATTGTTCAAAGAACAATAAGAGGTCTTTCCACCTTCTTTGAATTTCAATTTTGTTTTAAAATTTAATTCCATGAATAAGAAACCAAAATTGTCTTAAAGGATAGCAAAAATTAAAAAAAAAAATTGAAATGACCTTGACCTTTGACCTTGAAAAAATATTCAAGGTCAAAGGTCAAGGGTCACAATGCAATTGACCCCATGCTTCTACGACTTATAGTTTTCAAGTGATAAGGTTAAATAGGAAGTACAAAGAAGTTAAAGGGCAATAACTCATATAAGCGGTCATCAGATCCTTTTGCACTTATATAGTGAAGTTAGGCCTTAAGACCCTTAAGACATTAGTGAAGGTTTAGTGTCTATACGGTCTACGGTTTCGGAGAAGTAGCGATAACAAGGTTTCTTGCACAAGGGGCAATAACTTTTTAAAGGGTTAATCTTTGGGGACAAGAATAAAATATTTGAAAGAGTTTTAAGGGTACATATTAATGATGCAGAGACATTAAGTATATATTGAAAGACAAAAGTAATATAGAAAAAGCTTAATTTCTCATTTTCTGAATGACCTTGACCTTTGACCTTTGCATGAAATTTCAGATCAAAGGTCAATGAATCTTATGCAGTTGGTCCCATATCTCTACAACTTTTCGTTTTAAAAAAAATTAATTTTTTGTAAAATTCAAAAAGTTTCAGGGGCAATAACTCATTGAAGGAGTCACCGAATACTTTCGCAATGAATAGATTCCAGAATCCTCTCAATTAGTCGAAGACTTTAGTGAAGGTTTCATATTTGTACGGTTTATGGTTTCGCAGTAGTAGCGATAACAAGGTTTTCCGCACAAAGGGCGATAACTTTTAATAGAGTCAATCTAACGGAATACAAATTGAATCTTTAAAATAGTTATAAGAGTACATATTAATGATGCTAAGCCAGTTTGTATATGTTAAAAGACAAAAAAGATATAAAAAGAGCTTAATTTCTCAATTTTGGAATGACCTTGACCTTTGACCTTTACATGAATTTTAAGCTCAAAGCTCAATGAATCTTATGCAGTTGGTCCCATGTCTCTATCACTTCTCGTTTTGAAAATTTTTAATAATTTCTAAAATTCAAAAAGTTTCAGGGGCAATAACTCATTGAAGGAGTCACCGAATACTTTCGCAATGAATAGATTCCAGAATCCTCTCAATTAGTCGAAGACTTTAGTGAAGGTTTCATATTTGTACGGTTTATGGTTTCGCAGTAGTAGCGATAACAAGGTTTTCCGCACAAAGGGCGATAACTTTTAATAGAGTCAATCTAACGGAATACAAATTGAATCTTTAAAATAGTTTTAAGAGTACATATTAATGATGCTAAGCCAGTTTGTATATGTTAAGAGACAAAAAAGATATAAAAAGAGCTTAATTTCTCAATTTTGGAATGACCTTGACCTTTGACCTTTACATGAATTTTAAGCTCAAAGCTCAATGAATCTTATGCAGTTGGTCCCATGTCTCTATCACTTCTCGTTTTGAAAATTTTTAATAATTTCTAAAATTCAAAAAGTTTCAGGGGCAATAACTCATTGAAGGAGTCACCGAATACTTTCGCAATGAATAGATTCCAGAGTCCTCTCAATTAGTCGAAGACTTTAGTGAAGGTTTGGTGTCTATACGGTCTACGGTTTCGGAGGAGTAGCGATAACAATCATTTCTTGCGTAAAGGGCAATAACTTCGAAAGGGGTCAAAGTTCAAACAAGGGCTGTCATTTTTCAGAATAACTTTTGATATCCAGTTTCATGAAGTATAAAGTTTTTCGATAAGTCTTGCGGTTTCAAAAGTCCGGGAAGAAAAAGAAGAAGAACTAGGAGACTTATTGTTCACAGAACAATAAGAGGTCTTTCCAGCTTTTTAAGTGTTTCCGTGTCATTTGGGTTGAAAAAAAGAAGAAAAACGCAAAAAAAAAAAAAAAAAAAAAAAATTTAAGGTGCTCCAGCAGGATTCGATCCCTGCACCCTCTGATTAGAAACGAGCGCTCTAACCACTACGCCACGGGTTCCGTTGAAATTGTCGTGTATTATTGTCGAGTTAAAGTTACCGGAATTTCTTTGATTCATTGACCAGTCAAAGAGATCCAGTTAATAAACTTCTGACAAGCTCCTGGGTGTATTTGTGAGTTTGAATGAGATTGTTTTCGAGTTAAAATGTAAGGGATAGGGTCCGATTACAATTATGATATTGGTATTACCGGGGATACATGCATTTGAGGTTGCGTAGCAATTTATGTATTTGAAAAAGGCCGCGTTCGTTTTGACAGATATGGTAAACTCATAGGTAAGATTTAATAATCATTTCTATTTGAATTGAATTCATAGTTACCAGCATAAATTAAACTTGATTCATGCATCTCGGGAAAAAAAACGGTGTCATTGAGAGCGTGGAAATTTATTTGACAGGAAAAATCGCTATTTTCGAGATTCATCCCAACAATATTCAATCTAAATAAAATTGAAATAAATTCCACATACTAAAGAAAGCAAGAATATTTGGTATCGAAATATCGTATTAGAGCAGGGGAATCGAGTGATATTAACAACAATCGAAGAAATGACCAATACAAGCTTTAATGAATTCTTAAACTCATCAACAATTAAATTTCATATAGAAAAAAATGTAGATTTCGCCGATATTCACTAGAATTTAATTGTACTTAAGAGACTCACCGTAAAACTCTCAGGGCACTTTCTTTGAGGTGTCTTCTACATGCTAAACTGAATTTTATCTTGATCTGTGATGTCCTTTGAGTTGTAGAAAAAATTT